CCTCCCCCCCCCTACGTGATCGATAGTGATCATTTACCGAATTAAGAGTGTGCCCGTGGGAATGGGTTTATTCGCGATCGTAGTTGGGGAAGCGAACAAAGTAATTTAGGATGCCGTGGGTAAATGGTATTAGAGAGTTTATATGACAGCTCCCATAAAACTGATTGTTCGGATATGAAGTTTTACCTTAAAACTCCGTCATCGAAGGCCGCCTTCTAGACTGCCTCTTAAAGTTAACGGGCAACGAGTGCTTTGACTCCTGGCCAAATTTCAATTTGTTTAACGAGAAGTTAAATTTTAGCCGGCGACAGAAACACCGAGAAATTTCGTGATTAATCATACCATGTCTACCTAGAAAATCGTCAAGATCGGTGCTCTACCATACAACTAATTAATATCCATCAACATAGTTAAGATCAACAAATTTTTTCCAATATTTGCTTATCATAAATAATAAGTTCCCAGTGTAAATCAATTAGTAAGGTGCCAAAAACGCGTATTTGCAAAAATGTAAATTTTGTTAAGGATTCTTTTGAAATGAATATCCATCCAGTAAAAACATATATTCAGGAAGATTTTTGTTCAAGGCGACAAAGGACGTGGCAATTTCAGGACCGAAGTTAAAAAAAATGAATGATTTTATTGTAGATTCCGGCATAATATCTTTTCACTAACAACATTTGATCCGCAACTTTTTGTTTTTGAAGAGAAGAAAGTCTAATTTTGAAGTTATAGTAAATGCGTATTTAAACAATGTTTTTTTGGGTTTTTGGGTTGCGATGCCAGTTAAAGTAATTTGATCCATGATAAAAACATAGCAAGGTATAACCGTTCTCTCAATTTGTCGGCCATGATTTTTTTTTGAAGTTTGCCAACATTTTAAAATCATATAAAAGTGAAAATAAAAAATTGAAATTGTTCGAAATTGTTGTTGCTTGAGATTGAAAATGAAAATGTGTGTGTGAGTTTGTGAGTAAATTTAAAAATTAAATTGTTTGGAAACGTCAAGAATTTTAAAAGTGACTCTCAGCGGTTCTACCTTACTATATTTTTATCATGATTTCATCTACAAATATTTTTAAAATAAAAGCATTTTGAGGGGTCGGTAACGTGTTCCGACAGACCTTTTTTTTTTGTATACAAATTTTTTACTGCGCTCCACGTCGCTCACAGAGTTTGTTATCGTTTCTTAGACAATGCAGCTTTTAAAACCTAGTCTTAATATGTTTTCAAAACCAGCACCTAATCCAAAATCGGTTGCGTTTCTGAGACCTGCAAATGGTTTGAAAAAGTGCGGTTTTTAAATTTTTACGGTTTTTGAGATGCACATCCATTAAATCTGAACGATATCTCCAAATTGATTATTTATCTTAAAAATATGAAATCTTCAATTTCATTCTTTATGAGTACTAATTTGCTCTTTTTTTGCATTTACATAGGTGCATACGTGTCAAGGGAAAAACAGACTTGCGATAAGCCATTAATAGTAGAGCTATTTTTATATACATACATACATTCATACTAGGGATGTTGCGAATGTGGAATTTTAGACATCCGCGGAGGCGAATGCGGAAAACTGCGATAAATCAGTAACTACTGAAGCTAATTGACACAACATATATTATTGCAATAAACACTGAGCAAAAAATTAGATTATTATAAATTTTTGGAAAAAGGGCGTGGCGCCGCCCACTTTTGACGATATTTGATATCTGCACCGGGTATATAAAATTCGGTTTCACCCAAACTTATGCTTTTTTATTTTATAATCGGAATCATTAGACGGATTTTGGCATTTTACACATACGTATCAGAGAACAGCTTTGAGTATGATCGAGCCTTTTTGATCACACTCACTAAAAATCAAGCACAAGCGAACGCCACACTCGGCTATTATGTGTTCGATCGAGATGCATACCCGACAGCTGCTTTGGTTACGAACGAGTCTGTTCGATCACCCTCGCTATAAATTGAGCACAAGCGAACACCACACTCGGACACCCGCAGCTAACCCGAAAATTTGTGTAACAATGAAACGGACACCCGAACATTGCGATAAAATGCAGGACAACAAAGAAATTTACGCTGAAGGTAACTGGCGCCAATATGTTCCCACAAAGCATACGAAAATGTTGTTGCTTTGTGCTTGTGCATACGCAATGAAAAAATTAGAAGCGAAGTAGACAAAAATGTTTTTGCATCTATTTCGTATAGTTTCGCGTGGAAAGCTGTGTGTGTATATATTAGAACACAGCCTAAAACTATGTAGGTACATAACCAGATTCAACTAAATGGGCAAAGCTATACTTTTACACTGATAGAGCACAAATGTAGATACGTATGTGTAAAATGCCAAAATCCGTCTAATGATTCCGATTATAAAATAAAAAAGCATAAGTTTGGGTGAAACCGAATTTTATATACCCGGTGCAGATATCAAATATCGTCAAAAGTGGGCGGCGCCACGCCCTTTTTCCAAAAATTTATAATAATCTAATTTTTTGCTCAGTGTTTATTGCAATAATATATGTTGTGTCAATTAGCTTCAGTAGTTACTGATTTATCGCAGTTTTCCGCATTCGCCTCCGCGGATGTCTAAAATTCCACATTCGCAACATCCCTAGTATGAATGTATGTATGTATATAAAAATAGCTCTACTATTAATGGCTTATCGCAAGTCTGTTTTTCCCTTGACACGTATGCACCTATGTAAATGCAAAAAAAGAGCAAATTAGTACTCATAAAGAATGAAATTGAAGATTTCATATTTTTAAGATAAATAATCAATTTGGAGATATCGTTCAGATTTAATGGATGTGCATCTCAAAAACCGTAAAAATTTAAAAACCGCACTTTTTCAAACCATTTGCAGGTCTCAGAAACGCAACCGATTTTGGATTAGGTGCTGGTTTTGAAAACATATTAAGACTAGGTTTTAAAAGCTGCATTGTCTAAGAAACGATAACAAACTCTGTGAGCGACGTGGAGCGCAGTAAAAAATTTGTATACAAAAAAAAAAGGTCTGTCGGAACACGTTACCGACCCCTCAAAATGCTTTTATTTTAAAAATATTTGTAGATGAAATCATGATAAAAATATAGTAAGGTAGAACCGCTGAGAGTCACTTTTAAAATTCTTGACGTTTCCAAACAATTTAATTTTTAAATTTACTCACAAACTCACACACACATTTTCATTTTCAATCTCAAGCAACAACAATTTCGAACAATTTCAATTTTTTATTTTCACTTTTATATGATTTTAAAATGTTGGCAAACTTCAAAAAAAAATCATGGCCGACAAATTGAGA